TAATTGAAAAAGTGAGACTTTTTTTAGTTTTTACCTTAGTCTTGGGCTATTCGACACGACAACATTAATTTATAAATAATTAAATGATCTTTTTTATATTTAATATTTTTTATTAAAATACTGAAATTAAGTTTATTTAATTTTTATAAATTTAATTTTTATTTAAATGTAATTAGTAATTCAAAAGTAAATTAATGATATTTAAATTAGCTCCTTTTGGAGAAATTTAATAACTTTTGCGCCATGTGTCAAGGCTTGTAGTTCTAATTTAGGAATAGTGACGTCGTTGGTTTAATATATTATTTAAATTCGATTAATTTCAAGTTAATTTGTTTAATTTTTTAGATTCATTTAAAATAATCTGTTCATTATATGTAATTATAATCTCAAACTAGTGACATGAAGAAAAAGAAAATATAAAAGTTTATTTTGTAAAAAATTTAAAAAATATTTTATTTTTCCAATAAAGTCTGCTCAGAGAAGAATGTCCACAAAAAATGTAAAAACTACACCATTCTTCCTGCCGTTCCAACACCAAATAAACAATAAATATGAAATTAGCGAAAAACTACAACGTGAAGATCATTTCAAAATTTTAAGAATTAAACTATTTTTAACAAACACTTTAAATTTTGAATAATAATGAACAAAATGAACATTATTCATGTCTAAAATAAACAAAACTCGATATTTATTAAAAATAAAAATAACGAGTAAATAATTTTTAAAATTAAAAAAAATTTATTTAATTATATTTTTAAAATATTTTTGAAAATAAGGTTTTTTAAATAAAAATATTTTTCAAGAATAAAAATAATTTCAATAATTACATTACACTCTATTAATTATTGTAACATAGTAATTATGATACGCGAAACGAATTTAGAATAAAATTGAAGAACATTATACTTTTGGCTTCGACTACTAAATCTCGGGAATGTTCTTCTCTTTATTGTGTTTTTGTTTTTTGTTTCTAAGCTTTAAAATTTTTTTAACAAAGGAGACAAACAATTTTCCTTCATGCCGCTAACGCATCGCGTGATACACCCAAAATTAACACAATAAGATTTACACATTTTAATTTTAATCATACGTACAATTATAGATTGAATAAATATATACTTTATTCGAAAATTCTTCAAGGATTGAAGCTGAATTGGAACTTTTGTGGCAGAAAGAAATGCTAAAGTCGAAAAAAATATAAAGTAGGCATTTGCTGATAAATATTGGAAAAAATATTGGAACCCTTTAAATATTAACAATCAATAATAAGTCAACACGTAATTTAAAATTTATTATCAAGTAAATCCCCTGTATATGTACCTTCAAAGATAGTTACCTAGCTCCTATCCATACACACACTATTCTAAATTAAAGTTGAGAATTTTATGATAAAATTGATGTAAATTTAAGGTTGGAAGATAAAACCCATGCAAGGTTAAGAATTAGAAGATAAGATTGCATACACACAAATGAGATATGCGAAATAAAAAGGTAAACTGAACGAATTTGTTGAAATAGCAAACGACTATAAGCGCATAGTCTTATGGACAAGATACAGTCAAAGTATTCGATTGTTATCAAAGGATAATATTTTAAAATAATTCTATTGAAAGATTTTAAATATAAAAGTTAAAATTCCAAGCATAAAAAATTATTATTTTACTATTTAAAAAAAACTCCATTAAATTATGTAAGTAGATTTTGCTTTTTAGTGAAAGGAAAATAGAATGATAGAAAAAATTCCATAATTAATATTAAACAATTATTTCTAAGTTTTTAGGCATTATAATATTAAAAAAATACTTATAAATTTAGAATAAATTATGTTATTAAAAATAATTAAGAGGAAATTATAAAGGAGATAAAAATGAACAATTGCAAAGCCAAAACTCCGAATTGCATAACAAAAATTAAAATATAAATATTAAAACGCATGAATATTAAAACACAAAGCTCTTTGCGTAATATACATCTTATTCATAAATAAATACTCCTAAGACCTTATACTCAAATATTAATTATACTAAACCAAACAAATGATTTTATATAATATAGGGCCAACATCAAAATGTAGATATTCTTTAAAAGTCTTCTATTCGAAAAATATATGTTAGAAAATCTATTAGAAAAATTATTATTATATTAAAATAATTTTTAAAATATTTATTCTGTGTCCCACGCAAAAAACAATAAACATTGATTAATTTATGATAATATGCATAAAATTGCTATTAAAATTACTGAAATAATTAGTAATTAGTAAACAACAAGTAATACCTTTTTAATAAGGCATATATGTAGACAACAAAAACCCCAAAAAACTAAAGAAAACTAAAGAATCTACTAGAGACGTAAGCATTGTAATATTTCTTTAGTTGTTGGACGATAAACATTAATTAATCTTACTTAACTTTATAATTCTGTCATATTTATTTTGTTAGTTTTCATTTATAATTTAATGAAATATTCAAACTTGTTTATAATAATTTTTTATTTATTTCATCTTATTTTATTAAATTTAACACTTATGATATCATCTTGGTTAAAACGTCTTATTGAGACTTTATTTACCTCTTGTGTTGCCTTTCACAAAGATTAAATAATTGTGCTACAAAATTTCCTAAATACGTTAAACATTAATTAAATTAAATTTTTATTTATTAGAGTTTGTTGTATTTATTTGTTTTAATAATGATGTCATTTTAACAATTTAATTATATTTTCATATTAAAGTTATTTGTTTAAAAATACACCTACTAATCTGAATATGATATGATTTTATTATCTTTAATATTTTCTTCCCTATTATATAATTTATGTAAATTACTAATTTTTCATAGATTTTTTATTCCATGATCTTTTTAAAACTTTTTAAAGGTTCTTGTGGTAAATCTCTTATTTTAGATAATATTATTAAATTATCACACACGGCCACTTTTCTTTTTCTCTGATTGTTTATCTACTATTTTAGTCTTTTTTTAAAGTTTATAGGTTTTAGCTTTGCTAGTGGTAGAGAAAAACATTTAGAAATGACGGAAAGATGGATTTAATTTACCTATGCTCTCCTTTTGGGGAAGCGCAATTAATTTTTTTTCTTAAATTATTAATAGTTTGTAATTGTGGTGTTATGCTTCGTGCTCGTATATCTGCTTTCTCAAGTTCATTATTAAGTATAACTTTGACATTATGTTAATGCTGTTTCCGTATTCCGTGATGTCCTAAAAAGTTTTAAATAAGTTTTTGAAGTGTGAAGGATTTTTTAAATTACTTTAATTGTGTGTTTAGAATGTGTCTAATTTCTAATTTAGAATGGTGTTGCGACAATTGAGGTGTTGCGACAATTGATAATTTTCACCTTTTTTAAATTGTGCATTATTTTTTCGTTTTAAATTTATCTATTTTTTTTAACACAAATCTAAAATATACAGGGTGACATGAAATGTTTAGGACAAATTTCATTTAGCCATAACTTTTTTTCTCATTAATATTTTTTAATATTCTTATGCTTATTTTGTAGCCTGAACAATAGCATATAAGCCTGATTCCGTTATTGAGATTTTTTTTGAAGAGTTAGCGTTAGCAAAATTTCAACTCCTCCCAAAGTTCAAAAAAAACACTGTCTAAAAAATCTTTAAAAAATCACGGTGAGAAATTTTATGGGAAAATTTTTTCTAAAACTTATTTAAGGAAGTAGGCATGCCTGTTGCCTTTATAAATAGTGGAAGGATTCGATTAGTAGGTACACCCAACAAAGATAAATGAAATGTCTAAATATCGTGATTTACTAATGAAATATATGCAAAAAATTCATTTTTAAAGGACAAATAAAAAATTAAATAATAAATCTTTAAAATATAAACCTCGTATATACATTATTACTTATCACGATTAATTGATAAAAATAATAGAAAATATTATAAGCGAAGTTGTATAACAGAGAAATCTAAAGAATGTTTTGATTTACTAAAGAATATCGGCAAAATTATCGCAAACTAATGAATATCTAAAAAATATGGAGATGTACTAATTAAGATACCTAAAAAATTGCATATTTTTATTATCCATTTTAATAGAACTAATGATAACTAGAGGCCGGATTTTTATTGAAATAAAATCGCCAAATATGGCCATTTAATATTGAAATAACATGGCAAAATATTGACAAAAAACGCCAAAAATTAGTGAAATATTGAAATACATCATTGCTTATACAGTAGAATAAACTCAAAAAAAGTTGAAATTTAATAGAAGAAAATTTTAAAATTGCATATAGTATGTTTATAGTTCGATAAATTGAGATTTTTACTCTGATGAACATTCTGAGATGTGCCTAATTGGACATTTTGAAGTATTGCTCAGTGAGCCATTTTAGTGTCTTGTCCAGTGTGACATTTTGGGGTTTTGTTCAGCGGGGAATTTGGAGAGGGACTCCCCTTTGTTCCCTCCGAATCTCATGATAAAAATAAAAATATGGAAAAGTATTCAATATTTTTGTAACATTTGATAGAAGAAATTCCCCAATTGTAGAACTTAAAGCATCAGCCGCCAGCATTCCCCAATTAACTAAGATAGAATTCCCCGTTTTTAGCGCCGCAGGCGAAAATTTTGAGAATTTTGGAGGTCGAACTGCCAGATTTGTTCACTTTTTTCCTAAAATTTATAAAAATCCACAGAATTTTGATGAAAATATGCAAAAATATTGAAATAATTTTCAAAAAAATGCTTATTATTGAAATAACGGGAAAATTAGCAAAATATTGAAATAAATTGATATACAGCTTTGTTCAAAATCATAATATCAAAAACTAATGCCATTTTTGGGCTTCTTTCGACAAGATGTGTTTGTAAAAAAACATTTATATCATTGAAAATCCGGCCTCTAATGATAACAAATTTATTCTAATTTATTCTACTACTTTTTATTATGGCTAGGGCGGGTCAAAACATGCAAATGCATATTTTGTATGCGGATATGACCTGAGCTGAAACGCTCAAAAATGGTGTTATTGATCGGTCCGAGCACTATAGGGCCCGGTTCTTTTTGCACATTTTTGAGCGTTCTTTTTGCATCTTTCTTTTGCATATTTTTTTGCGTTCTTTTTGCATGTTCTTTTTGCATGGTTTTTATGCATATTTGCAATTCTGTGCTTATTTTGGTAAATTTTGCATATTTTTACTAAAGTTTTTACATATTTTGGCATTTTTGAGAAATTTTTAGTTTAAAAAATTATTTTCGAGCAAAATACAAAATTTTTTCAAAAATTTTTTAAAGAAAATTTTTTGGAAAAATTTTTTCGAGAAATATTTCTGGGAAGTTTGTTTCAAAAAATTTTTTTCATAAATTTAAAGTCCGTAAAATCTTCTAGGAATGCTCTAAATTGCTATTTCAAATACTAAATTAACGTTTTTACTTAAAATAATAATTTTTGAGGACATTTTACTGTTTTTTGCTGCATAACTAGTGCATATTTTGGAAAATTTTGTTTATTTTAGTGCATATTTAGGCCTTTTTCGAGGCACATATATGCGCATATTTTGTGATTTTCCGTGCATATTTTGACACGCCCTAGCTACAAATATTAATAAAATGGAATTCGCAGGATTTAGAAATTATCGAAAAAGGCTAATTTTCTCGTAATTGAAGTGGAAAGAAATTCAAATTGAACGAAAAAATTCCAAATCAGACAAACAAACACGCAAAATTTTCTCAATAATAATAATTAGAAGTCATTATTTGACAGGTTAACGAATAAATCTTCAAATAAGCAACGCATTAAGTCATTTTCCGCGCTTCAAAAATTATTATAATCAATTTATTATTTTTTTACTAATTTGTACATAAAATACTATTTTATACGATTAAAATAATACATTTAAGTGATCATGTGGAGTAATTAATAAGCAAAGTAAAAAAATTTATGAAAAAATCTCTCTACGCCTTCCTGACTCTTAAAGGAGAGCATGAAAATGAAGAGGCGTAATTACGTCTATAGGGCATGTGGGCGTAGCTATGGGCGCAACTACGGCTATAGGGCAATTTTTTTCATCTCAAGCAACTCTTTAAAAGGTGTTTAAAATGCGATAGAAATGCTTATGATGAATTATTTATTCATTTTTACTTATAGCTTTTAATCACTCTTTTATAAAATTAATAATAAATTTAGATAATTTGTCTAGCCTATAGGCATTATATATAATAATATGGTAAAGAAATTCTGAAAATTGTTTGCTGATGGGTTTGAAATAAATTAGCAATAATATTTCCTATATAAATTCTTAAAATTAATTTTCATTCGTAATTTTTCATGACAATAACTAAATTTTCCAAAACTAGCAATTTCTATGTAAGACTTCAACAAATGTGCTATAGTAAATGGCTATAGTAAATTAAAACTTTGCACCTGCTCCTCTAAAAATGAGGAATTATCTCTCTTGGCCTTCCGGCTTTAATTTTTCTATTTTCGAAAAATTTTTCGCTTCTACCTTTACTCATTTTGAGCTTTATCTTTACTCACAAAAAGGGTTGGATTTTTTTCATGATACACAATTCATAAATTTGAAAAACGCATGAATTTTATTATAGATTTTAAATGATAAATTTATTTATCATAAAACTTATTTTGCTACTTTATTTTATAAAGTTATTAAAAGGCAATGGGTTTGAAATACCTGAAGATATTTCTGAAGAATTGAAATTAGTTAACGATAAAAGCAAAAATGAAATTGGTGAGAGATAAATTTTGTTTTTTGTATAAATTTCAATAATTGAAATCTTAAAATATTAATAAAAAATCCAGATTTTCGGGAGTCGATCCGGGTAATTTGATAAAAATCGGGATTTTTGTCAACAGACTAACATAAATTATGATGAATGTACAAGAATAGTTGTTGGAAAATAGTAAGTGTAGTAAGTTTAAATGTTTATGAAAATTAAGTCATGTCTAGATTCATCGATATAGAAGTTTAAAGTCTCGAATCCGGTGCGAATATTAAAGCGAAAGTAATTTTTATTTTATAATATTATTATTAAAGAAAATTACAATCAATTTTTTCAAAACTACGGAAAAAATTTAGAAAATTTTATTCGAGTTTTGACAACAAAAGAATATAAAATTAATGTTCAACTTGACGAGACAAACAACAATAAACTGAAAATAAGCGTAAATAAATTGTTTGAAATTTTGAATAGCGTTCCCGGTGGTTCCTTTCTCGTGAATCTACTGCAAAAAATAAATGAAAATATTTTGGCCAAATTCGATTCAATGTATGTATTTATTTAAATATATTAAAATTTTTTTATTTTTTAAATACAGGTTAAAGAAACGAAATGATGGAAAACTTCAACAGCAACTTTTAAATTTGTGTTCCCAGTTTGTTTTAGCGAAATATTTTTCTTTAGCTCTAGTTTTGATGGTTTCTAAAGAAGTGTTCGAGATTTCAGATCATAATTTAAAATTAAAAATTAAAGAAATTGAGAACTTATTAGTTAATCTGTCTAATAAATTATTTGTGGAAGAGAATGCAAAATTAATGCAAAATCTTGGATATGAAAATAAAAAAGTTTTCATTACAAAATTGAAGGAAAAAATTCAAATTTTGCTGAAAAAGGAAATTGAGTGTAAGTAAATAATATTAATCTGGTTTGATAAATTGCATTGAAACATTTTTCTACTTTTAATTTCGTAATGTCAGGATGATTAAAACGCTTAGGCGAGGGTTAAACGATCTACATAAAAGGAAAAAGAAAAAAAGCATTGGTCGATTTCCCGGTAGTACAGTAGTAGACAGGTTTGCAAAAATAATCACAATTCCGGTTCATGAAAGAGGAATATCGGAGGCAAATAAAAAAATCTGAAGGTTGCATGTGTTGCACTCAGTTTATGAGCCCAACCACTCTTTATGAATCCAATGAAATTTTATGAGTCCAATCAAAATATATGTTATTGTATTTTCTCAATTTTTCAAAATCTTTTTGTGCTAATACGGAGGATTGGTCGGCACCTAAACTTGAATATCGTTAAAAGGGATAGAGTTTTTCGCCTCGCGGGAGTAAACAGTCACTGGGTCTGTATTAGTAACATACATAGACCTATTCCTATTATCGCTCCCATCCATTAATTAGCTATATTTTTTGATTATTCTAAAATACGAAATATTCAACTTATTAAATAAATTCAGCAATGAAGCAACTTGATTCTGTATTAACTTGTAATACAGACTTTTTCCAAACAATTAATATTTTTGGAGCAAAAGGAAAATTAGTTGATCGGTTTATTGAAAAAATTTTTAATTTTTACAATTGCTATTTAAAATTTATTGGACAGAAAATTGGAGGAAGTGTCGTATTTAAAAAACAAAAACATTAGTTGAAGTAATGAGTCCTTTTGTGCTGGGAAAAATTCCACGTGAAAATTATGCGGAAGCAATTTTTATTTATTTTACAAAATACGGAGATAAATTACAAACTGAAATAAAAAAAATTCCTTGAATTTCTTGCTAATAATGATTGGCGTAGAGGTAAAACTAAGGAAAATATAAAAGGAGAATTTGAAAATTTAATTAAAATATTTGGTGAATTTACAAATATTTTTAACATTGAGCAAAAAGGAGTTGATCAGCCGGAAAAAGTTACAATTAAGTCTGATAATGATGAAGTTGAAAAGAAAATAAAATTGATTCAACCAAAAGAATTCGAAGATTTTCACAAAGGAATTAAAGAGGATTTTAAGAAAATATTTAATTCATTAAAAAATTATTTATCAGTAATTAACCCAAAAAATATCAGCAATTTTGGACAAGCTAAAAGTCCTATAGTTCAGGTAATTATATGCATCCACAAAAATGTTAAAATTTGATCTCCTATTTTTTAAATATAATTTAATTTATACATATTATAGAATTTCTTCAAAAAACCTGCAACACTATTACGTCTGAAGCGTGCAAGCCCATCCGGCTCTAGATCTAGCAGATCAGGCTATGGATCTAGTCCGGGCTCTAAATCTAAAACAATTATACATAGCCATTATTATGGAAATAGTGATTTGGCGGATTTTTTCTTTGCGTTGGTTCTTGTCGGTGGAGCTGGATGGCTTAGCTTAAATTTTTTTATTTCAAAATACATATTATGGGAAATGGACTGTTCGAGAATATTGTGTATTCCAGGTCCTCGTCGAGAGAAAATTGAAAGTATGTTAAATAATTATTTTTTAATAAATAATTTTAATGAAAGTTGAGACAGGAAACTTTATCTTGATAATAATAAAAAATGAGAGAAAAAAGGCACTATCACGGGTGTGCGGTTTAGTAAAATTAAGTACTATATGGTTCCCCAATTCTGCCTACCATATTCACAGTAAACGAATGGTGTTTTCATTTGATCGGAGTTGTAAAGATACAATTAAAAGTTTTCATTCAACATACTCCGATACCCTCTTTAATCTTAATAAATTCTTTCATATCATAGTTTATTGGTTAAGAAAGAAATCGAAATATTTGGGAAATTTGATCAAATTTTGAAATTATTTATGCAACCAATGCTTTGATTTGAGCTATGGCTGAGTTTCTCGTCCATCGCCAAATTTTTGTCTATTTTGGTGTTCTATTTATTGACATTAGCCTTTTGTCTTGCGCTTTTTAAATTATATTTTGCCTTTATTTCGCTTTTAAATATGTTTCAGCACACCCCTGTCAAATATCACATAGTATACACTATGATAAAGTACAATATAGGTAGCTTAGTTAAAGATAAGGGAAAAATCAAAAGCTGCCATTGGGATCAAAAAATTTATCTAGAGCTTAAGTCGTTGGTCACTTATCTTTTATAGTTGACAGAGATGTTCCTCATTAAGTCATTAATTTAAAATTAAGGAGAATTAAAAAATAGAGAATTAATTCATGGAGACTTAAACAATGGAGATTCAAACAATGACGAAGAATCAAACATTGACGGAATTTGCCAATATGTTTCTTCAGAGATTGGAAATGAAACTTTTATTCAAATGATAAAAAAACAAATGCTTTTCTATCAAAAATAAATGTATTGCTAAAAAGAAAGATTTTGGCAAAAAAATGAGTGAATTTGGTAAATCTGTTTATAAAGCTCTGAAGAATTGTGGACCTTATATCGCCTGGGGGTGGTATATATGCAATGTTATTGGTATTATTTTTATCTTTGTTATTTCGGGCATTTATTTTACATGCAAGATTTAAGCGAA